AGCAGGCATTACAGCATATCATGTGCTCCGTAGTCTAAAGGGACAATCACACGCTGTGATTCAGAGTTGGTGTACAATATGAAATACCTTTTGAGTAAAAAATATTTTGAAACATTTTTCTAATTTGTATTGTATCCTGGTTAGTGATGTGTTTCGAATATATATATATATATATATAAACACACACACACTCACCCACTGGCCAGTTTATTATTAGTACCAAGTTGGACCTCCTTTTGCGTTAAACTCTTTGTGGCATAGATTGAAGGTGCTGGAAACATTCCTCAAAGATTTTGGTCCATATTGACATGAGAGCATTACGCAGTTGCTGCAGATTTGTCGGCTGCACATCCATTATATGAATCTCCCGTTCCACCACATCCCAAAGGTGCTCTACTGGATGCAGATCTGGTGACTGTGGAGGCCATTTGAGTATAACGAACTCATTGTCATGTTCAAGAAGCCGAGTTGATTTGAGCTTTGTGACCTGACGCGCTATCCTGCTTGAAGTAGCTATCACCAGATCGATACACTGAGGGTGAACATGGTCACCAACAACACTCAGGTGGGTTGTGGTGTTTAAACAATGCTCAATTGGTTCTAAGGGTCCCAAAGTGCACCAAGAAAACGTCCCCCACACACCATTACAGCACCAGCAGCCTGAACCGTTGATGCATGGCAGGACGGATCCATGCTTTCATGTTGTTTGTACCAAATTCTGACCCTGCCATCTGAATGTCTCCGCAGAAATCAGCATACTTTTTAGACCAGGCAACCTTTTTCCAATCTTCTGTTGTCCAATTTAGGTAAGCCTGTGTGAATTGTAGCCTCAGTTTCCCATTCCTAGCTGACAGCAATGGCACCAGGTGTGGTCTACTGTTGCTGTAGCCCATCTGCTTCAAGGTTCAATGTCAATGTTATAGGTGAAAACCCAAATCTATGTATATTTTGCAAGACCCCCCTTTCCATTAAACATACACTTCTTGCTCAATAGAGGATAAAGGGAACACTTAATCATTACAGTATAACACCAAGTCAATTAAACTTCAGGGATATCCGTCTGTCCAGATAGGAAGCATAAGTGATTGTGACTCAGTTTTACCTGCTTTTTACAACAGGTGCACTGGAGAGGCAAAAGCAAGACAACCCCCAAAAAGTGAATGATTTTACAAGTGGTGGCCACAGTCAATTGCTCTCTCCTTATCCCTCCTGACGGATTTATCTCTTGTCTTGTTAATGTCCTTCTCACTACTTGTTCCATGAGGTAGTATCCGCAAACCAATCAGGTTGCAGTTAGTCCAGCTTCTCCAGGATGGCACATCCATACGTGTTGTTGCGAGGTTTGTTGTACCTCCCAGGACAGTTTCAAGAGCATGGAGGAGATACCAGGAGACGGGCCGTTACGAGGAGAGCTGGACAGGAACATAGGGCAATAACACAGCAGCAGGACTGATAGGGTCCGGCTGCAGACATGCACTTGCATTTTCAGACTTGCACTCTCAGACACCTGCACTTCCGCGAGTGACGTCACTTGCAGTCTTTTTTATTGTATTTAATTGATTAATTATTTTTTTTATTGAATCTCTCAACATTTTACACAAGTAGCCAGTTGGTGAAGACAAGAAAAAAA